GGGTTCCCCACACACACCAGTCCTCCTGGGACCATGGGAGGTGGGGTCCCACACACACCAGTCCACCTGGGACCATGGGAGGTGGGGTCCCACACACACCAGTCCTCCTGGGACCATGGGAGGTGGGGTCCCCACACACACCAGTCCTCCTGGGACCATGGGAGGTGGGGTCCCCCCCCACACACACACACCAGTCCTCCTGGGACCATGGGAGGTGGGGTCCCCCACACACCAGTCCACCTGGGACCATGGGAGGTGGGGTCCCCCCCACACACACACCAGTCCACCTGGGACCATGGGAGGTGGGGTCCCACACACCAGTCCACCTGGGACCATGGGAGGTGGGGTCCCCCACACACACCAGTCCACCTGGGACCATGGGAGGTGGGGTCCCCCCCACACACACCAGTCCACCTGGGACCATGGGAGGTGGGGTCCCACACACACCAGTCCACCTGGGACCATGGGAGGTGGGGTCCACCACACACACCAGTCCACCTGGGACCATGGGAGTGGGGGTCCCCACACACACCAGTCCACCTGGGACCATGGGAGGTGGGGTCCCACACACACACCAGTCCACCTGGGACCATGGGAGGTGGGGTCCCCACACACACCAGTCCACCTGGGACCATGGGAGGTGGGGTCCCACACACACCAGTCCCACCTGGGACCATGGGAGGTGGGGTCCCCCACACACACCAGTCCACCTGGGACCATGGGAGGTGGGGTCCCCCACACACACCAGTCCACCTGGGACCATGGGAGGTGGGGTCCCCCACACACACCAGTCCACCTGGGACCATGGGGGGTGGGGTCCCACACACACCAGTCCACCTGGGACCATGGGAGGTGGGGTCCCCCACACACACACACCAGTCCACCTGGGACCATGGGAGGTGGGGTCCCACACACACACCAGTCCTCCTGGGACCATGTGAGGTGGGGTCCCACACACACACCAGTCCACCTGGGACCATGGGAGGTGGGGTCCCACACACAGTTCACTGGGACACAGTCCCCACCTGGGACCATGGGAGGTGGGGTCCCACCACACACACCAGTCCACCTGGGACCATGGGAGGTGGGGTCCACCCCCACACACACACCAGTCCACCTGGGACCATGGGAGGTGGGGTCCCCACACACACCAGTCCTGGGACCAAGGGAGGTGGGGTCTCACACACACAGTCACCTGGGACCATGGGGGTCCCACACACACACCACACCTGGGACCATGGGAGGTGGGGTCCCACCACCAGTCCACCTGGGACCATGGGAGGTGGGGTCCCCACACACACCAGTCCACCTGGGACCATGGGAGGTGGGGTCCCCCACACACACACCAGTCCACCTGGGACCATGGGAGGTGGTCCACACACAACCAGGTCCCCCACACACACCAGTCCACCTGGGACCATGGGAGGTGGGGTCCCACACACTGTACCATCAGTACAATGGTATTAGGTGAAGCGGTACTGTCAGTACTATGGTATTAGGTGAAGCTGTACCATCAGTACAATGGTATCTGGTGAAGTTATACCGTCAGTACTATGGTATCAGGTGAAGCTGTACTGTCAATACCATGGTATCTGGTGAAGCTGTACCGTCAGTACCATGGTATTAGGTGAAGCTCTACCGTCAGTACCATGGTATCAGGTGAAGCTGTACCGTCACTACCATGGTATTAAGTGAGGCTCTACCGTCCGTACCATGGTATCAGGTGAATCTGTACTGTCACTACCATGGTATTAGGTGAGGCTTTACCGTTAGTACCATGGTATCAGGTGAAGCTGTACCGTCAGTATCATGGTATCAGGTGAAGCTGTACCGTTAATACCATGGTATCAGGTGAAGCTGTACCGTCAGTACCATGGTATCTAGTGAAGCTGTACCGTCAGTACCATGGTATCAGGTGCAGTTGTACCGTCAATACCATGGTATCAGGTGAAGCTGTACTGTCAGTACCATGGTAATAGGTGAGGCTGTACCGTCACTACCATGGTATCTAGTGAAGCTGTACCGTAAGTACCATGGTATCAGGTGCAGTTGTACCGTCACTACCATGGTATCAGTTGTGAAGCTGTACCGTCAGTACCATGGTAATAGGTGAGGCTGTACCCTCACTACCATGGAAGTGATTCACGGAAGGTGAAGCTGTACTGTAAGTACCATGGTATCAGATGAAGCTATACCGTCAGTACCATGGTATCAGGTGAAGCTGTACTGTCAGTATCATGGTATCAGGTGAAGCTGTACCCTGAGTATCATGAAGTGATTCACGGAAGGTGAATCTGTTCCGTCAGTATCATGGTATCAGGTGAAGCTAAACTGTCAGTACAATGGTATTAGGTGAAGCTGTACCGTGAGTATCATGGTATTAGGTGAAGCTGTACTGTCAGTATCATGGTATTAGGTGAAGCTGTAATGTGAGTACCATGGTATTAGGTGAAGCTATACCCTCAGTACCATGGTATCAGGTGAAGCTGTACTGTCAGTACCATGGTATGAGGTGTGAAGCTATACTGTGAGTACCATGGTATTAGGTGAAGCTGTGCTGTCAGTACCATGGTATCAGGTGAAGCTGTACCCTCAGTACCATGGTATCAGGTGAAGCTGTACTGTCAGTACCATGGTATCAGGTGAAGCTGTACTGTCAGGTACCATGGTATCAGGTGAAGCTGTACTGTCAGTACCATGGTATCAGGTGAAGCTGTACCCTCAGTTCCCATAGTATCAGGGTGAAGCTGTACCGTCAGTACCATGGTATCAGGATAAGGTTCGCTATACATATAGTGTATACTGCCCTACACAGAGCTTGAAATACACAAAGAGAGCTAATGAGAAAAATATACACATCGAGAGATGTATTTTCCTGAGTATACACTTACAGTATACACACATTCTCAGTGCTTACACCAATGAGTGTATTTCCCAGTGTATATTCTACAACATAGTAGTCCCGCATGTATACTCAGGGTGTAGTATACCAGTATACACTACACCGAGGGGCGGGTATATCAGTATACCCACAGGTGAGCGTCCATGGGTATATTAGTTATATTTCCTAGGGATAAAAGTGAGGTATATACCCATCCAACCCGTTCTCGCACTTTCATAGTCACAGTCAATATTTACTTAATAAATACGTGCATATGTGACATACTAATTTATTGTGAATATTTTAGTTTACCTTGAAAAGCTTCAAAGAAAACACCGACCTTACCTAACCTTCTTAGTATGTTAAGATAAGCATCTATTTGCTTCGTAATTACAATTATTACTTAACCTATTATAGATATTGGTTAAGTAATAATTGTAATTACGAAGCAATAAGATGCTTATCTTAACATACTAAGAAGGTTAGGTAAGGTCGGTGTTTTCTTTGAAGCTTTTCAAGGTAAACTAAAATATTCACAATAAATTAGTATGTCACATATGCACGTATTTAATAAGTCAATATTGACTATAAGAAAGTGCGAGAACGGGTTGACCCATCATATATAGATCAAAAGGTGCTTGACGTATTGTGTATACACTCTGTATAGTGAGGGGGGGAGGGGGGGGGGAGGGGGGATTAAGGTATACAGCCGTAATGACCACACCAGCTGTCGTTAGCCTTCACATCACGCGAGAAACGCTGAATAACAATGAGATAACGATTGGGCCCAATTGCGCAGTTTAGCCAACATTAATTAGCACTCTGCCACAATACAGCCGTAGGGAGTATGTTGGCTATCATGTTCAACACAGTTGTAGGGAGCTACGTTCAACATGTTCAATACAGCATGGGGGAGTCCCTGGCTGGCTAAGTGGACAACGCTCTAGACTCGTGGACCTAGGGACCTGGGTTCGATCCCGGCAGTCGGCGGAAAAACAAATGAGCAGAGTTTCCTTTACCCTGATACCTCTGTTACCTAGCAGTAAATAGGTAACTGGGAGTTAGACAGCTGCCACGGGCTGCTTCCTGGGTGTGTAATTACCTAAGTGTGTAATTACCTAAGTGTAGTTACAGGATGAGAGCTACGCTCGTGGTGTCCCGTCTTCCCAGCACTCTTTGTCATATAACGCTTTGAAACTACTGACGGTCTTGGCCTCCACCACCTTCTCACTTAACTTGTTCCAACCGTCTACCACTCTATTTGCGAAAGTGAATTTTCTCATATTTCTTCGGCATCTTTGTTTAGTTAGCTTAAATCTATGACCTCTTGTTCTTGAAGTTCCAGGTCTCAGGAAATCTTCCCTATCAATTTTATCAATTCCTGTTACTATTTTGTATGTAGTGATCATATCACCTCTTTTTCTTCTGTCTTCTAGTTTTGACATATTTAATGCCCCTAACCTGTCCCCGTAGCTCTTGCCCTTCAGTTCTGGGAGCCACTTAGTAGCATATCTTTGCACCTTTTCCAGTTTCTTGATGTGCTTCTTAAGATATGGGCACCACACAATCGCTGCATATTCTAGCTTTGGTCTAACAAAAGTCGTGAACAATTTCTTTAGTATTTCGCCATCCATGTATTTAAAAACAATTCTGAAGTTCGAAAGTGTGGCATAGGCTCTTCGCACAATATTCTTTATGTGGTCCTCGGGTGATAGTTTTCTATCTAGAACCACCCTAGTTCTCTTTCTTTATCAGAATTCTTTAAAGATTTCTCACATAATATATAGGTGTGTGTGTGTGTGTGTGTGTGTGTGTGTGTGGTGTGTGTGTTGTTGGTGTGTGTGTGTGTGTGTGTGTGTGTGTGTGTACTTACCTAATTGTGCTTGCGGGGGTTGAGCTTTGTCTCTTTGGTCCCGCCTCTCAACTGTCAATCAACTGGTGATTGCACTGCACTGTGTGTGTGTGTATGTGTGAAGATTTTTTTTTTTTAGATGTTAGTAAACAGTTGGTTAACAGTTGAGAGGCGGGCCGAAAGAGCCAGAGCTCACCCCCGCAAGCACAACTAGGTGAGTAACCAGTATGGGCTCCCTCTCATGAACTGCTCGTTGCAACAACACAGCCACGCGCCAGATTGAGCGTTGCAACAACACAGCCACGCGCCAGATTGAGCGTTGCAACAACACAGTCACGCGCCAGATTGAGCGTTGCAACAACACAGTCACGCGCCAGATTGAGCGTTGCAACAACACAGTCACGCGCCAGATTGAGCGTTGCAACAACACAGTCACGCGCCAGATTGAGCGTTGCAACAACACAGTCACGCGCCAGATTGAGCGTTGCAACAACACAGTCACGCGCCAGATTGAGCGTTGCAACAACACAGCCACGCGCCAGATTGAGCGTTGCAACAACACAGTCACGCGCCAGATTGAGCGTTGCAACAACACAGCCACGCGCCAGATTGAGCGTTGCAACAGCACAGTCACGCGCCAGACTGCTCGTTGCAACAACACAGTCACGCGCCAGACTGCTCGTTGCAACAGCACAGTCACGCGCCAGATTGAGCGTTGCAACAACACAGTCACGCGCCAGATTGAGCGTTGCAACAACACAGCCACGCGCCAGATTGAGCGTTGCAACAACACAGTCACGCGCCAGATTGAGCGTTGCAACAACACAGTCACGCGCCAGACTGCTCGTTGCAACAACACAGCCACGCGCCAGATTGGGCGTTGCAACAACACAGCCATGCGCCAGATTGAGCGTTGCAACAACACAGCCATGCGCCAGATTGAGCGTTGCAACAACACAGTCACGTGCCAGATTGAGCGTTGCAACAGCACAGTCACGCGCCAGACTGCTCGTTGCAACAACACAGTCACGTGCCAGATTGAGCGTTGCAACAGCACAGTCACGCGCCAGACTGCTCGTTGCAACAACACAGTCACGCGCCAGACTGCTCGTTGCAACAACACAGCCACGTGCCAGATTGAGCGTTGCAACAACACAGTCACGCGCCAGACTGCTCGTTGCAACAACACAGCCACGCGCCAGATTGAGCGTTGCAACAACACAGTCACGTGCCAGATTGAGCGTTGCAACAACACAGTCACGCGCCAGACTGCTCGTTGCAACAACACAGCCACGCGCCAGATTGAGCGTTGCAACAACACAGCCATGCGCCAGATTCAGCTTGCAACAACACAGCCACGCGCCAGATTGAGCGCATTAATTGCATATTGCAACAGATTGTCAGATGGATAAAGACATGTTAGGATAGCGTGACCCAAGAGATAGCAACAATCTTTTACACACTGCTGAGATATTACACTGTAGAGATATTACACTGAAGAGAGATTACACTGTATCGCAGTGCCCCATTGTACCACCAAGCACATGAACAATTGTCCCAGAGAGATGGAACAAGACCCAAATGGTACTGGAACTAAGAAAGTTGTAGAGAACAGGGAATCATTACCACAGGAAAGGGCAACATTTATATCAAAATGGGATATTGTAAATTCTGTGAGATTATTCCCTGCAAGGGGGGAAGGGGGAATATTTTATCTCGAAAGGGGTTTCTTGAGATTATCTTGAGATGATTTTGGGGCTTTTTAGTGTCCCCGCGGCCCGGTCTTCGACCAGACCTCCACCCCCGGGAAGCAGCCCCTGACAGCTGACTATATATAACACCCAGGTACCAATTTTACTGCTAGGTAACAGGGGCATAGGTGAAAGAAACTCTGCCCATTGTTTCTCGCAGGTGCCCGGGATCGAACCCGGGTCCACAGGATCACAAGTCCAGCGTGCTGTCCGCTCGGCCGACCTCCTCCTAGGTGATCCCTCCAAATTTAATCCAGTTCAAGCTAGCCTAGATGTGTTTCAATTGCATGAGGAGCAACTTATGTAAAAAATGTGTGTTATGTGTTATGCCCCTCATTAGTGTGTGTATCAGTGGGTTGGTCTGTATGTATATACCAGGATGGGAGATTACTTTGTCAGTAATGAATAAGTATATAATTGGACGGGGGATTATTACGAACTTATTATTTAATTAATAATAATATTAGGTTAGATTAATATAATTAGAATTATTACGGACACGGAGAATACATTACGTCAACAAAAAGATATCTTGCAGCATTATGATATCTAAATATTTTAGACAAGAGATTTCTGTAATATAACATCAATATTTTAAACATAAATGGTTTTTACAACTTAAGACATTTTTTTCCCCACTGTAGTTTAACATTTTCACTGGAATTTAACCTTTTTTACTGGAGTGAACTTTCTGAAAGTTTCTAACAGAAAGGGCAGCTGGTATTTTAACGACAAGAAAGGACATTTAGTTTGATATTTTGTTTGAAAATATTTTCATGCCTCCAGGAAAGACTAAAATTTCACCCGGAATTTGAAATATATTATTTACTGCAAGAATATTTGAACAGGATTCATATTGATGCAGACTGCGAGTCACAACAGCTTGGCTGAAACAGACAGCCATCCCAATCATCTGAAACATGAAGAAAGTTAGAACATTGCGGCCCCATGTGTCCCAACAACACACTAGAAACACAGTAATACAACAGGGAGACACTACAACACACCAGGGACACACTACAACACACCAGGGACACACTACAACACACCAGGGACACACTACAACACACCAGGGACACTACAACACACCAGGGACACACTACAACACACCAGGGACACACTACAACACACCAGGGACACACTACAACACACCAGGGACACACTACAACACACCAGGGACACACTACAACACACCAGGGACACACTACAACACACCAGGGACACACTACAACACACCAGGGACACACTACAACACACCAGGACACACTACAACACACCAGGGACACACTACAACACACCAGGGACACACTACAACACACCAGGGACACACTACAACACACCAGGGACACACTACAACACACCAGGGACACACTACAACACACCAGGGACACACTACAACACACCAGGGACACACAACAACACACCAGGGACACACTACAACACACCAGGGACACTACACAACACACCAGGGACACACTACAACACACCAGGGACACACTACAACACACCAGGGACACACTACAACACACCAGGAACACTACAATACACCAGGGACACACTACAACACACCAGGGACACACTACAACACACCAGGGACACACTACAACACACCAGGGACACACTACAACACACCAGGGACACACTACAACACACCAGGGACACACTACAACACTCCAGGGACACACTACAACACACAAGGGATACTACAACACACCAGGGACACACTACAACACACCAGGGACACACTACAATACACCAGGGACACACTACAACACACCAGGGACACTACAACACACCAGGGACACACTACAACACACCAGGGACACACTACAACACACCAGGGACACACTACAACACACCAGGACACACTACAACACACCAGGGACACACAACAACACACCAGGGACACACTACAACACACCAGGGACACACTACAACACACCAGGGACACACTACAACACACCAGGGACACACTACAACACACCAGGGACACACTACAACACACCAGGGACACACTACAACACACCAGGGACACACTACAACACACCAGGGACACACTACAACACACCAGGGACACACTACAACACACCAGGGACACACTACAACACACCAGGAACACTACAATACACCACACTACAACACACCAGCGACACACTACAACACACCAGGGACACACTACAACACACCAGGGACACACTACAACACACCAGGGACACACTACAACACACCAGGGACACTACAACACACCAGGGACACACTACAACACACCAGGGACACACACAACACACCAGGGACACACTACAACACACCAGGAACACACAACACACCAGGGAACACACCAGGGACACACTACAACACACCAGGGACACTACAACACACCAGGGAACACACACAGGGACACACTACAACACACCAGGGACACACTACAACACACCAGGGACACACTACAACACACCAGGGACACACTACAACACACCAGGGACACACTACAACACACCAGGGACACACTACAACACACCAGGGACACACGACAACACACCAGGGACACACTACAACACACCAGGGACACACTACAACACACCACACTACAACACACCAGGGACACACTACAACACACCAGGGACACACTACAACACACCAGGGACACACTACAACACACCAGGGACACACTACAACACACCAGGGACACACAACACACCAGGAACACTACAACACACCAGGGACACACTACAACACACCAGGGACACACTACAACACACCAGGGACACACTACAACACACCAGGGACACACTACAACACACCAGGACACACTACAACACACCAGGAACACCACAACACACCAGGGACACACTACAACACACCAGGGACACACTACAACACACCAGACACACTACAACACACCAGGACACACCACAACACACCAGGACACACACAACACACCAGGGACACACTACAACACACCAGGGACACACTACAACACACCAGGACACACTACAACACACCAGGGACACACTACAACACACCAGGGACACACTACAACACACCAGGACACACTACAACACACCAGGGACACACTACAACACACCAGGGACACACTACAACACACCAGGGACACACTACAACACACCAGGGACACACTACAACACACCAGGGACACACTACAACACACCAGGGACACACAATACAACACACCACCAGGAACACTACAACACACCAGGAACACACACACACACACCAGGGACACAGGAACACTACAACACACCAGGAACACACAACACACCACACTACAATACACCAGGGACACACTACAACACACCAGGGACACACTACAATACACCAGGAACACACAACACACCAGGGACACACTACAACACACCAGGGACACACAACAACACCAGGGACACACAACACACCAGGAACACACAATACACCAGGGACACACACACCAGGGACACACAACAACACACCAGGGACACACACAACACACCAGGGACACACTACAACACACCAGGGACACACTACAACACACCAGGGACACACTACAACACACCAGGGACACACTACAACACACCAGGGACACACTACAACACACCAGGGACACACTACAACACACCAGGGACACTACAACACACCAGGGACACACTACAACACACCAGGGACACACTACAACACACCAGGGACACACTACAACACACCAGGGACACACACAACACACCACACTACAACACACCAGGGACACACAACAACACCAGGGACACACTACAACACACCAGGGACACACTACAACACACCAGGGACACACTACAACACACCACACTACAACACACCAGGGACACACTACAACACACCAGGGACACACTACAACACACCAGGGACACACTACAACACACCAGGGACACACTACAACACACCAGGGACACACTACAACACACCAGGGACACACTACAACACACCAGGGACACACTACAACACACCAGGGACACACAATACACCAGGAACACACACAACACACCAGGGACACACTACAACACACCAGGGACACACTACAACACACCAGGGACACACACACAACACACCAGGGACACACTACAACACACCAGGGACACACTACAACACACCAGGACACACTACAACACACCAGGGACACACTACAACACACCAGGGACACACTACAACACACCAGGGACACACTACAACACACCAGGGACACACTACAACACACCAGGACACACACTACAACACACCAGGGACACACTACAACACACCAGGACACACTACAACACACCAGTGACACTCTACAACACACCAGGGACACACTACAACACACCAGGGACACACTACAACACACCAGGGACACACAACACACCAGGGACACACTACAACACACCAGGGACACACTACAACACACCAGGGACACACTACAACACACCAGGGACACACTACAACACACCAGGGACACACTACAACACACCAGGACACACTACAACACACCAGGGACACACTACAACACACCAGGGACCACACTACAACACACCAGGGACACACTACAACACACCAGGGACACACTACAACACACCAGGGACACACTACAACACACCAGGGACACACTACAACACACCAGGACACACTACAACACACCAGGGACACACTACAACACTCCA